CTGCCTACGTCCACCTCAGGCTGGCCTTGTTCTGCACACCGTGGTCCCAGGCACGCGGGAAGGGGTGGTCACCCTGGGACTTCATGCACAGTATGGCTCCCTTTTCTGTGACTGACGTCACAGGCCGTGAGAGCTGCCATCCTGCTCTTGGGCCTGGTGTTCTAGCATCAAAGAGGTGGCCATACAAGGTGGCCCTCACGGGCAACCCACCCTACTATAGTCCCCTACCCCAACACTATTCCTGGGGTTGAGGATCTTCTCAAGAGTTCCAGAATCAGAAATGCCTCTGACCTTGTGGCATCAGCCATCTGGGACCCAGGCACTCGGCCCAGTGGGTGAGAGAGACAGCTCGGGTGAGGAGATGCAATGGTGGGCACCACAGCCCTGCTGATCCCCAGCTGCCTGGTTCACCCAATCTGAAACTCTGCTTCCCCACATGGGTAATCCTAGGGGCACCTGCATCACGGGGTCCTGAGGACTCGGAGGAGGTACAGGAGGTGGTGACGGTCCTCACACTTAAGATTGCCACCTGGTGATCTAAGGCCCGTAAGCACTGATCTCCCGGTGGACCTAGGTTCCATGCTGGAAGCCTCCCATCACCATTTAGGGGTGGGCTTCCTTGTCGATTCTTGCAAACTGGGGGCAGAAACACTGTCTGAATTAAATGTTTCTAGACACAGCTCAGGTGAGCTAGATAGAATTGCCCAGTGTTTCCCGTAGCCAGAAGCCCTACTCAGTTCCCTCCCATGTGACCTGGGGATACCTCATACCCCTGAAAAGGCGAGTTCCATTTTAGACTGTCTGGGACCCCGCAAGCACTCTCGGCTGCCTCCTCAGCCATCAGGATTGTGGCAGGGTGCTCCCTGCCATTGGCTGAACCCCGGGACCCCTTTTCCTCTCTGTATGTTCTGGTTGCCCCTACATATTCCTGAGAGATGCTCACCCACCCCTGCTCCCCTTGGCTACCCATGGCAACTTGAAGTTCCCTTTGTTCTGGCTGAGAGACCTCCCAGCATCATGGTCCAGAAATCTACTAGAGTTTGTTGATGAATTCAGTGAAGTTGCAGTATACAAAATTAATATATTAAAAATTATTTGCATTTCTGTACACTAACAGCATGTAGCAGAAAGAGAACTTCAGGGTATTACCCATTTACCATTAAATAATCCCATTTAACTGCATCAAAAGGAATGAACTACCTAGAACTAAACCTAGCTAAGGAGGTAAAAGACCTGTACTTGGAAAACTGTAAGATATTGACAACTGAAATTGAAGACAGCACAACAAGATGGAAAACTTTACCATGTTCTTAGATTGGAAAAATCAATTTTGTAAGATGTCTAAACTACACAAGGCAAACTTTAGATTCAAATTACCAATGATATTTTGCATAGAACTAGAAATTTTGATGACACATAAGACCCCAAATAGCCAAGACCATCTTGGGAAAAAAGCACAGAGTTGGAGGTTCTTCAGTGGTGGTCCAGTGGCTAAGACTCCATTCTCTTAACGTAGGGGGCCCAGGTTTGATCCCTGATCAGAGAACTAGATCCCACATACAGCAACGAAGAGTTAGCATGCTGCAACAGAGATTCACATGCCACAACATAGAGTTCACATGCTGTGGCTGCTGCTAAAGACCCTGCATGCCACATCTAAAAAGAACCCAGGTGTTGAATCTGAAGATTCTGAATGCTGCACCTGAGGATCCCACATGCCTCAATGAATATCAAAGATCCCATGTGCTGACACTGTCAAATAAAGTAAAAAGAAAAAAGAACGGAGTTGAAGGAACCAAGCTACTTGACCTTAGACTATACTATTGAGAGGGTAACAGGCAGGAAGGCCAGGGGTCTCCAAACAGAGGAAAGAGCCTGCACGTGCCAGATGTTTTTATTTCTCTTAAGCGGCAGGAGGAAACAAACCAGCGATATGTTTTTCCTTCTCTATACAAATTTAAAAGAAGGTTTCTCCTAACATGCTGTGTTGCCATGACACCTGGTCTCACCTGAAGCTAACTACTCACAAACCTTTTGTTAACCAATACATTTCTTTTTCTTATGGAAATGTTGTCTTAAGCTATGTTAATGAACCCCAGACTCTATCTTCAAGTTGTTACTGCCAAAGGGCCTAACTTACTTACTCAGGTATTGTTCCCCTAATCTATGTAAGCAGAACTATTTGTTGGTATTCTGCCCTTCTACAAGATTCAAGTCAGTCGTTTTATGGCCAGGGATGAATTACCTGGTGCCATTCTAAATTTTATGACATTCTTTTCTTTTCATTAACAGACTGTGAGTGACTATATAACATACAGCTAAAGACTAGGAGGGGGGGGTACTCTTTTGCCCCCTTCTGATGCCTATGTCAGAAGCTTTCTCTATCTCCTTTATACTTTAATAAAACTTTATTACACAAAAGCTCTGAGCGATCCAGCCTCGTCTCTGGCCCCAGATTGAATTCCTCTCCTCTGGAGGCCAAGAATCTCAGCGTCTTATCATTCAGCAACAACTTCTCATCTTGGGGGCTCGTCCGGGATCCTTCGGCACAAGGTAAGGATGCTTGGAGCTCTAGTTCTTTGTTCTCCTAGCGAACACGTTTTCTGCTGTACTTTACTAAGTTTTCAGTGTGCTTGTGTGAATGAATGAAATGCCCTGCATGAAGCAAGTGAGGAGCCCTGCTCTGTGGTTCCGTGGCGACCTCATAAGGCTTATTGCAGAAACCTGTCGGAGGTTTATACCGACCTGCCAATGCCAAGAGGCAACCAATGTCTCCTTCGGGAACCGATCAGAAACAGGCAAAGCGTGTGGTCTGAACTCTCCTTTCTCGGTCAACTTTTCGGTCTCTTTGACCATTTCATAATTCCTTGGGAATTAGAAATACTAACCTAATCTATCGGATCTTAGGCTTTCAAGGGACTTGTAATCTATGTTGCTACTCTACTGTGGCCTAGGTCTCAAACTGGGATTGGTAGTCAGGAAGCGCCTAGCCTCGCTAGGCATGGAAAGTTCAGAAGCTAGATGGAGCTCTAACTCCAAGAGCATCTCTGAGGTTAAAGGTTACTCGGATTGGAACTGCAATGGTTTTTTTCCTTTGGTAACACTGGCTTTTAGTGGACCAGAAGAGGCTCTTATACTGGTGTGGTGATGCTTAGAAAGAACATCTCAGTTTCATGTTTGTATCTGTCTTACTGTGGTCAGGAATATACTCTGGGTCATGCACAGGCACTCAGGTGACAAATGTTTCCCCCAGAGGTCTTAGCTTGGGAAGCATTCTGGAAGGTTACTCTGATTGCACCCCGGGTGGCATCAGAGGCAAGCGAGGTGAAGGGCTGGACGTCAGTGAGGGATGCCATCAGGTCTACCCCTGGTGCATCCCCACCCCGTCTCAGTGGTAGAACCAGGAGGGACGAGTGTGACGCCTGCGTTGGTAAGGGACAGACTAAGTCCGACCAGGAAGGAAAAGCTTTTGGTGTAACGTCTGTCTACAACCCCATCTAGAGCAGGGAGGGACGCCTCCGGTAGAAAAAATGGCGCTGGTTGCTTTTTTTCTCTCTTACAGATGGGAGCTAACAATTCCAGCCTCACTCCTTTGAACTGTATCCTGAAAAACTGGGATAGATTTGATCCCCAGGGCTTAAAGAAGAAACACCTGGTCTTCCTATGTGATACTGCATGGCCGCGGTACCCACTGGAGGACGGCGAACGGTGGCCAGTTGGAGGGTCTCTTAAGTATAATACTGTTTTACAATTAGACCGGTTCTGTAAAAAGCAAGGGAAATGGGTAGAAGTAGCGTATGTGTTGCCCTTTTTCTCTCTGCGAAACATGCCAGACTTATGTCCTAAGGGTGTAGATTTGGGTGTAAAACCTTCCGCTCCCCCCTGTCCTCCTACTTTGCCCCCGTATCCGGGGCTCCAAACTGAGACTCAAACTGCTTTGGTCTCAGTGGAAACACAAACTGAGACTCAAACTGCTTTGGTCTCAGTGGAA